AACCTGTGTTTAACAATAAGGTCAGCGTGACATAAAGCAATGAGAGCTAGTAAATTGAAAATGAGGTTGACATTCTGGGACTAATCCAGCAAGAGTTTTCCAAACTCCACAGCTGCATGAAGCTCGGACAAGCCTGGCGCAGCCTCCAGGCATGTGCCCAGGGCTGGGTCTTGCAATGAGGTCAACTGCAGGAGGGAGCAGATCTCCTTATGTTTTTCGTCCCTTAGCAGCAATCAAGCAGTTGCTGCTATAAACTGCTGCTGTTTAACTTGTCACCATGCCCTTCTGCCAAATTCTTAAATCTTCTCCAGTGATAGGATAGATTATTAAAAGAAGCTACTCTTAGCTTTTTATTTCCAACTTTTAAGGCCACATTGCTTTAGGCCTAACTCTGGTAGTATATGTTCTATTAGCCCAGGTAACTAGTGGTTGGTAGGACCTGTTTCCTGAGATTGAATAAGGATATGATCCAACCTAAATGCAATTATTTAGGCCCAGTGCAGCTTGGATTCATATTATAGCATTCAGTTCAGTCCAGGTTGGACTGTCTTCCACAATATGGGTGAGCAGTCGGTTGCCATACTGCATGTTGTTCAGTTGGGAGTTTAGGGACCTGGAAGCGTGGAATAACGCTACATTAAATAGATGGCAGATGCTAGGTAGAGATAAAGATCGTCCTTTTTGTCCAACCTTGAATAAGGAAAACAGTGAAATCATAGTGCCCAGATGATATTCYTAATTAAAATAATTTCATGGCTCACTCTAGTGAGGGTAAGCCATTTAGGACTTGGCAAACTTGAGCTAGAATATCTGGCTATGTACTTCCTTTAAAACTAGAGATATGGAAATGTTTCACATCTAATGGCTACTTAAAAGGCACATTTTGGGAAAAAGAGTCATTCTCTTGGCTCTTTCACTTCATAATTGGGGACATGGTTGGTGAGTTATTGGATACCAAGAGAAGATATCTTTAAATCTGAGGGGGAAAAAAGTACTTTTCAAGTGTTGAGGTCTTTTTTGACACAGGCTCTGGAGTTTTAAAAATATTTAAAAGGATTCATACTCTAGCCTGAAAACTTATGCTTAAATGTTAAGTATAGATCAGAGAAATTGTTTGGGTATTCACAGCAAAATCTAAAAATGTAATAGCTGTCCTGGCAAAGGATACAAGATATCAATCAAAAGTCATATGAAGATCTCTTTTATCATAATGTTACTTCTTCAGGATAGAAATGATAATTTTGGAATTGATTACTTTCTCACAGCTTCAAGAGCCCATTGTTCCCTTTAGTAGAATTATTGCCATAGTAAAAATAACTCAAGCATGTTGTCCATAGCACAAATTTTTGAGGGGCCTATGTTCTAGTTAAGTTCTTAATATTTGAAAAATAAAATCACTTAATGTGAATTGGATAATAAAGGATCACACATCAACTGTTCCCTGGGTCTATTAGTTGAGTGAATGTTACAGTGATTTGAAAATGTCAAAACAGAACGCAAATTAAAAATAAACAGTATATCTTTTCAGGGAAAGAAATCAATTTAATACTTCTAGCCCTAATTTCAAATTGAATCAGTCAAATCTATCATAGTACATAGTGATAGAAATGAAGCAACTGGATTTTCTAGATTTCTGTTATCATTAGAAAATACAACTGATTAGTTTGAAAAAAATTATAGCCAGAATTATGGCTTTATGAAAATATAATTATGGCACTTACTGTTGGTTTCTGAACACTTGTTTACTTTTTTTGTTTGTTTCCATTTTTATTAATTGCAAAATAGTTGGAAGAGATTTAATAAGAGAGATTACATGACAGGCTCCACTCATCAAGCTCAGAAGGATTGGAGAAGTGGGACACAGCCCCAGGTCCCATCATTAAATACATCACTGTAGCTGTGGATAATTTAAAAAGTCATAGATCAGCAGGACACGGCTATTGAAAAGTTATGATTTGTGCAGAAAACACATTATCTATTATATTAGCATGTCATCCATCTAACAATAAATTATTTTCATATTAAATGTAAAAAAAAGCCTAGTATTGGCTAATCAAAAAGTGCTGTATCTTTAAACATTAAAAAATTATCACATCACAATTGATATTGGAAGTATAACTGCTTCAGATTCAAATGACTTTTCAGACTTTCATAAAGGGAAATATTTTAATTAACTCAACAATCTATTTCATCAACCATGAAGTATTTCCTGATATATGTCTTAAGATTTAATTTTACTTTAGAGCTACCCAAAAGAACATGATCTGAAAAATTAAGATAAAGGTTATGATAACTACATAGTAATGATGACATTAGTAGTAGGGATTTTTATAGTAAAAGATTTAGAGACTAGATATCTTCCATTTGGTAATGTCATGTTCTCTTTGGAATGTTTTTTTTTTTTTTCTTTTCCTTTCAAAACTTAGCCTTAAATCCTAATGTTTAGACAACTACATTGTGGACTGGGATCAACATCAAAATATCAAACATTCTTATGAGGCTGCAAAACAAACTATCACAATAAAACCCAACCTTGTGGCCAACACATTCTACTTCTTCATAGTTGAATGAAACCAGGAAATTTAAAAATTATCTTAGAAATTAAATCTGTACCATTGAAAAAGGATTTGTACTATCAGATTTTTTTTAATCCAAAGTAACAAGAATTGGATAATAAAATTATCACACATCAACTGGTCCCTTGGGTCCATTAGTAAAAAGGCTAATGACATTTTGATTGTTGACATACCTAAACACATTTACTTATGTCACACAATTGGTAGACTTCCCTTAACTAATGTATGGCCTATATTAAAAATATTTCCATTTGGATGACGTTTGTGCAGGAAAATACTGAAAGATTTTTCAGTAAATGAACATATTGATTTAATACAGGTCACACTTTACAAAATTGAGGGGTTAAGATTTTACTTATTTATTTATTTATTTATTGAACCCAAAGGAGCTTAACTACTGAGCCACATCCCCAGTTCTTTTTATTTTTTTCTTTTGAGACAGGATCTCACTAAGTTGCTGAGGCTGACTTTGATCTTACAATCCTCCTGTCTCTGCCTCCCCAGCCTCTGGGATTATACACATGTGCTATCATGCCTTGCAGGATTTATTTTAAATGAGGCATCTTTGTCTGTATTTGTCCCAGCAAAAATATATGTAAATATAATTTCCCTCATCAAATCTCATGAAAGAAAATACAACAAATTTGATTGTCCACTATTTACCAGACACTGACTTATACCTACAACTGTACTATAACTTTGTTTTTGAGTTATAGTCTTTCTTCAGCTCCAAATTCTCATAAAGCTTATTAACACATTTTCTTATGCTTGGAGTAGGTACCCAATAAATATTTGTTGAATGAATTCCTAAATAAGGAAAATTTTAATTTTTGAGCTTGCAATACAACATAATTTAGGGCTAATTAAATATAAAAACAATTGCAATTGTGAAATTTTTCTTAGGGAAGAAAATAATATTCCATTCATTCAATTTTAAAATTAGAAGAGCAAACAAAAGTATTGTTCTTAAGATATACAGAATGCACTTCTTCTATGTTATAGTCAATAAAGAACAAGATCTGAAAAAAGTAGGGAAAAGGTAGCAAATTTAAAAATGATGAAAAGAAATGAAGATGGAAACATCATGAGAACAGATGTGAGAAAGTGATGACATCATGAGTACAAAGCCATTCAGCAATGTAACCAAAGAATAATAGAGATCCATGGTGGGCGTGGAAGACAAAGCATGTCACTTAACTCTCAAGTCAACAAGCCCTACTGCCCTACCTCAAAGTGCCTCCCAGACTTGCACAAGAGTCAGCACCATAGAACAACATACTACTGTAACTCTGAGGTGCACAAAATGGTAGTGAACTCTTAAGAGCATTTAAATCACTCTGAAAGACTCAAGACAACTTTATAGAAATGATATTTGACTGAGTTTTGAAAGGTTAATAAATCATGGAATTGTTGCCCAAAGAGGGAAATCTGGGCAAAACAAAACAAACAAACAACAAAAAAAAAACCACTCCCCAAAACAAAAACAAAAACAAAAAAACCCTGTTGGTAACAGACTGGCATTGCTGGAACACAAGATGAATGTATCAAATTGACTAATTAAAATATAATTGTTGAGGATGAAGTCCAGTTTTGTTTTTTTTAAGGTAATGGTATAGTTTTAAAGGCTCACTTGAAATTTTTAATGCGCAACTCTGAGTGCTAAGTAATTGAAAGTCAGTGAACATTTTTAAATGAGGAAATGGAATAATTAGATCTGTTTTAGGAAGATACATTTGGCTTGAAGAGTGGAGAGAGGATATATGTATGTGTATGAAGACCAGGAAGAATCAAATATCAGTCAAGAGTATAATGTATTACACATAAATTCCAGAAAAAGACAAGTATTCCTTATATTGTAAGGAAGAGGCCATTTTGCATAGGCTATTTTGTTGAGGCTATTTGGAATTCTTGGGTTAAACTCTCATTGACAGTTATAATCAAAAGTTATTAATGTGTATATTACCTATTTTATTTACCACATAGATCTAATGAACCCAAGCCAARAAATTATTTTAATCTCTATTTTAAATGCCCATAAGAATTCATTATTTGTAAAAACTATTTATAACTAATTTTTTTTACTTTGAAGAATTTATTGTTAAAAAAGCTATGGTAACATAATTATGCCAATTTTTAATCAAAATCATTTTAATCAAATGAAATAATTTTGTTTTAAAGGTCATGTTAGTATTAAGAATATTCTTATGTTATTGTCCCTTGGTAAACTGTATTTATCAGTTGAAGAAATGGGATAATTAAAATGCATTCAGAAATCAGAAACTTACATATAGAAATTTTTTCTATATTTTTAAAGTTTAATATTCACATTAGCAATTATTAATTTACACAAGAAGATAGGTTTTATTTGTAAGAGCAATATTTTCACTTTTGAAGAAACTTAGGAAAAAAATCTGTTGTTGAAAATTTTGCACATACATATATATATGCCTAAAATTGATATAAATTACTTTATAAAAGGAAATAATTGATTTTGATTGCATTTCACCATCAGTAGGAACTTGGTATATGTACACATTCTATGGGCCAGATAGGTCTAATGAACAGCTGGTACATATACCAAGTACCAAATATATATATGTATATATACACATACATATGTGTGTGTGTATATATACATATATGTATATATTTTCTTTTATATATTTTTCTTTTGTAAAAAAAAGTATCTCCAGTGATTCACCACAGACAAAATTACTCTTGTTTGTCTTCCAAAGGAATATTTTCAATTCAAGTAGCAATGTGAATTGTGTGCTTTCTAGTTTTTGTAATTGGGTGTACTGTTTTAAGCCATTAACTATTAATTCCTGAAGCAGCTCTCACAGAATTGGGTCAGAAGCTCACAACCTGAGATTCATCTATTTCCTGAAGTATCCTTTAGATTTGGATCAGAGGCACTCACAAAATTTTTCAACCTGAGAATCATCTATTATATTTCACTGAAAAACACCATCCTCAAATGTTTGAATAATGGAGGGAAGGAAAAAAAAAATATATATGTATATATTTATCCCTTTCTTCTTTTAAGCTTCTTTCCTCCTTTTCTCCTTCCCTTCCTTCTATCTTTGGTTTGAGAAGATGTTAATGAGAAACTCTGGCCAAAAGAAGCATTTGGCAGGAAAGATATTCTTACATTTTACTTTTAAAGATCAGGAAATTGAAAATCAGTAAGATCGAGTGACTTTCTGCATGTCACCAATGATAAGGAATGGAATTAGGTCACAAAAATCTTCTGACCTCTATTTTCTAATTGCAATATTTTATTTGAGGACAATTCTCTCCCCCAAAATATTTAATAAAAAGCCAACAAAAGCCCCAATACTGTTACTACAACATGGCTACATATTAATTTCTTTACTAGAGATCCATATTTCTGGCCTGGACAATGATCTTAACATGTGAGTTGTTTTGCCTACTTTGAGAAACATCAATCCATTTTTGGTTTTATACTCCATTTCTATATTTTTTTCCATTAAAAWTTTTTGAAAATCTAGTTAAGATTATAAATTTTTTGTTTAAAGTTTGCCTGCCATTTAAAGATTCATTTCTCTAAACATAACTAGGAAGGTAAAGTGAGTTATCCGTAAGTAGTATATATAATAGATTTTTATTATTACATGTGAATTTTTTTTCTAAAGTAGAAGATTTGTTTGATGCAAAAGTTAAAAAGTCTCACCTAAATGGTATGAAATAATATGGATAAGACATAATTTACTTCAACAATCTTTCAGTCTTAAAAACTCTAAAAGAAACTATGGGTACACAAGACACTTTTAAAATTTGAATGATGCTTAACAAAGGAAAGTTAGAATCTCACGTTTTTTTTTCAAAAATTTACACAATATGATATGTTATAAATGTAAGGCGTTCAGAAGAATATAAAAACTAAAGACCTCATAACCCTAACCAAAACAATGACATACCACAGATATATTTTTTTGAAAGAAAACTGACATTCACTTTTTATGAAAGAGAAGAGGTTTCACCATCCCTGCCAAGATCTTGGGTAACTGTGCAGCAATAACTTCAGACATCATTTCTGGAAATTCAACACTCAGTGCCCGGGACTGGATAAATGTGTTCAAGCAGTATAGATGAAGTTGTTTGACAAGCTGTCAGTTTAACAAATGGGTAGGAAATGTAAAAAAATAAATAAATAAGTAGATTTGTATGCTATGCAAACATAACTTATATTTCTAACAATAGAAATACTTGTCAAGACTTTCTTCCTTCCAAACTGAAAATAATTCCCATCATTGTCTAGAATGCGCAAGTATCATATTGATGCGACATTCTAATACTAAGGAAAGATTTAAAGGAATGAAATTTATCCATGTTTCCACAAAATAACCAAAGTGAACATTTCAGCTTCAAAACAGTTTCAAGTTTTTTCCATATATATATATATATATATATATATATATATATGCATACATAAGCCTATTGACAATATTACACATATATTTTTTAACTGAAATTATGACATAAATTCTATTTGTCAATCTGGCTTTTTCACATAATTATATGTTGATGTTTTTATATCAATAACTCAACATTTTAATCAAATTTTAATTTTTATTAAAGTAACTCATGTATGTGATTTTGAAAGTTAAAAAGAACTTCAAGGTTTATAACAAAAACAACAGCAGCAGCAGCAACAAAATTTCTCAGTTCCCTGATGCACTTCTTATTTCAGTTCCCCAGACACAACTAACTTTCTGTATTTTTAAAATCTGTGTCTTTTGACATTTATATCTGTATCTCAAATAAACATTTTCTTTTCATTCTGACATTATTGAGGTCGTGCTATGAAAATTGAGGATTTAGTTCTCTTATACTACATACTCTGCTCCTCAACTATATTTTCTCTTCTCCCCATTCTCTGCATACATTTCAATATTTGGCTAAATCAGTTTCCAGCAGTTATATTACAAAGATTTGTATTGTTTCCCTTCTGGATTACATTTCCTTCTTTACATGGCTTGTTTTTAAGTTGTAAGAGCTAATCCCGTAGTATTCTTGTTTGCTTTGTCTCTTCATATTGGTACAAAGCCATAGTCAAATTTTCCTGATAGCAATGAAAAAATTCACCTTGCTATGGTTATGCCTACCGGCGGTCTCCCAATAATGATTCCTGAAGCTGGTATCCCAGAATACTTTGTCTTGCTGTTCCTATCTAGACTGCTCTGTACAATTACTAGGGCATCTTTGGCATCACTCTTGGGTTGGATCCTGTACTTCTTTGGCTTATTGTTTTGCTGTGACACATTCTGTGGTAGTTCTCAAGACAGGTTATATTTGACATAAACTCTGAGACTGCATGAGTAGAAATACTACTTTTATATTATCATTGCCTCGTTTGGTGAATTGGCTTGAAATCTAATTCTTTAATAATTTTTCTTTTCCATCAAAATTCTAGAGGCATTTCTCATGCATTGTTCCATCTTCTGGCTTCCAGTGTTGCTTTTGAGAAGTCTAATGTCATTCTTAATGTGGAGAATTTGTGACTTTTTCTTTTGATCTCTAGTATATTTAGGATAGTCTCCTCATATCTGATATTCTGAATTCACATTTTATAATAATGTACCCTTGTTCAAGTATGCAGTGCCTGTACACCATGCCCATAGAGTTAGAAAGCTCATATTCTGCAGTTCCAGTAACTTTGATTATTATGTAATTTCCTCTTTTGATTTTTCTCTTATCTGAATTCTGGAAATTCCTATTAATTGGGGGTGGAAATCCCTAGATTAATTCCTTAAATTTGCTCTCTCTCCTAATTTTTCTTGAATTAATTTTTAAATTATTTTCTGAGAGTTTATATTTTATCCCTCTTGTTGAATTTTTAATTTCTTCTCTATATTTAATCATCCAAAAGCATTTTTCTTGCTCAATGTTCATTTTTTAATATTCTCCTTTCTTAGACAATATATCATTCTTATTTCTCTGAGGGGCTTAAAAGTGTTCTTTTGTTGTCTGTACTGATGTTTGTTCCTTCAAGCTGCTTTTTTCCTGCTTATTTAGTTGTCTGCTTTGCATTTTAGAGGCTTCACTTGAATAGCTCACACTCTTGGTAATCTATTCATATTCAGAAGTAAGGACTCAAAAGTTGACCTGGTGAGTAGATAGCCTTTTTTTATGGCTTAACTGTCATTTTAATGTGGTTTCTGAGCATTGCAGCAATAAAAACTTCTATTCAATATGTCTTGACTAACCACATATGTTTTGTTTTAATAATCCAGTTCTGGTGTTGGACATTTTTGGGTTGTTCATCACAGCAGAGAAAAAAAAATCCAGAAAGAATTTAAAAACTTAAATTCTTGCCTAATTATGTCTTTAAGATAAATTCTGAAAAATAAAACCTTGAAAAGCATGCAGATTTTAGCTCTTGCTATATAGTGCCTGATTTCCCAACAGCCACGTTATTTAGAATTCATCAATGGTAGATTATTATTTTCTACATCCATACTTTTGCTTTTATTACCTATATAAAAAACTTTGCTAGTTTTAAGCAAAATATTTTAGAACATATTCTGGGAAATGTATCCTAATTCCTACCAGCCATTAAATTACTCTTAGGTTATATAAATACTAATAAAGGGCTATTTCAGTGATCTACACTGAAAATGAAAAAAAAAGCCCAATATAAATTCAGAACAGTATGATATCAGAACTCTTTACACCAGGAGCACAAATACAAATTTGATGAAAACATATCAAGTAAAATTTAGATTTAACATTTAAAAAGTTAGATAAATCTAGAGAACAAGTACTGATATCCTGGGGAGCAAAATACTTACATCATGCAAGCTATCCAGAAGTTTTGTAAGTTGATAGAAACGCTGGGAACTAGAGACAACTCCTTTCTGCCTCAAACCAATTGCTTTGATGAGCTCTCTAATGTAGCTTGATCTCATGTCTTCAAACTGGCTTTGGCTTCTTAGTCCTTCCAAAGGAACTGTAGGAAGATAATTACAAGTGGCAGTTATGTTAAAAGGATAACACTAACAACTTATACATTTCTGAGCTAGATGATTTCTTTTATATGTAATTCTAATAAAACCACCTCAAGTAGGGAAAAGACAGTGGTATGGATAACATCAGTATATGGAAACTTCTAATTCTGAAAGAATATAAGACCAACTAGGCAAATTAAAGAACATTTCAGCTTACCTGTTTCAGACCTGTATTATGAATTTAACTTAGTCAGCATTTACTCAGAAAATCACCAGAATTTATTCTACCATCCTACCTCAAATACATGGTTTGATTTGGTTTATAAATGTACTCTGGTTCTTTTTTATTTTTTAACAAATGATTGGGTTTCTTTGAAATTTCTTCTTCATGCAAATCTCAAATATTTTTCATTAAAATTATTCCCAGATAAGCTGTCTTTTTCTGTTTTTGTCATTTTAACATTGCTTTACTAAATTTTCTAATGCCTATCTGCTGATATCGGGAGAAAGCTATTAACATTTGAATATTACTCTTAGATGCAGACACCTAGTTGTAGTCTATTTTTAATTCAAGYAATTTTTGGTGGATAATCTTGATTTTCTTGGTATTCAAAAATATAACATTCAAATATTTCATTTTCATTTCCAATAGTTGTAGCTCTCATTTCTGCCTCACAATTCATTGCATTGTTTCAACATTTATGGAACAATATTAGGTACTGAGTGTGAAAACTGTTATTCACATTTTAGTCTTGATTTAATGAAAATGCCAATTATTCTCCTTACAATATCAACTAATAACTTGGATATTTATCTCTGAAATCTGTAATTCCTGTATGCAGATCTTAGGCATAACTACTAGTTCTTGTATTTTCACTTCATTATCAATTCCACCATTGTTTTCTCATAAATCTTTTAGGTCCTTCTGCTATCACTGATCTAAGACACCCTGGTTGATTTCTCTAGCAATTATACCACCAGTGAAGGGTTATGGAAAATAATATTCCTATAAGACAGCCCCAGGGAAAAATTTATCTCATCTCCGGAGGAGGTAGGGACATTAGCCAAACATTAAACCTCTCTCAAGTGAATCTTTTCCCAGTAACAATGGGCCCTCAGGGAAGGAAAGCAAACTTTCATCCCTTCCGGGGTTCATCTCCAGCCATCTGCATCAAAAGCAAACATTCATCCCTTCCTATCCACTATGGGTCCTGAAGGGAGGAGGTTGATACTGAAACTGAAATGCGGGGCCCTGGACTTTTACCCTTTCACCATTGCCCATGAGTCCTGGAAGATGGAAAATCCAAGAAATAGGGAAGCTCTGGGTAACAGCGGGGTCCCGGAGGAAGAAGATAAGCAGTGAACGCTGAGTTCTGAACTTTGCCCAGTGATGATGAGTTTCAGACTTTTTACAACTTTTTACCTGACTGCCCAAAGGACACATTCTGTCTCAGTCTCCAATGATAAATTCACCCTCATTGTGAACTATAAAACTCAGACTCCTTCTGTAACTGGTGTGCCATTTTTGTACCCAGAAAATGAGCCCTCCTGTGCCTGACTGATTGACTCTGCTGTGGAATACAAGAAAGCTTGCTGATCCATTTGAAGTCTGCTTCTGTCCCAGTTATTTGTGTTTTCATAATGGTACCCAAACCGTGTTGGTTATTTTTGTTTACAACCAGTACCAATTTCCTCCTTGCTTCATTTTTTTTCCTTTAGCTATACTTTTCCTACAAACAAATGTTCAACTTTAAGTGTGCCATCTGCTTTTCCTGTAGCTATATCCATTACTGAAAGAAAAATAACAAAATCTCTTAATTTATGTTACTATACATCCATGATCTTGACCCTTAATAATATTTTTTATAAAGAAATTATCTTGGTTTAAAGGTAAATGTGTGTGCTCAGCAAGAAGGAAAATACTTCTTAAAAACTACTATTTATCTTTTGCATTCCAATCAGACCTTGAAGTCCACTCTTATCTGAGAAGAACATCACACATACAAGCCAAAGGGTAACCAAGAAGTTAATTATTCAACTTTGAGTTTCCAAATGCTCAGATTCTGAATATAAACAGGTCTCTGGACAGGTGACAGCAATATGCAGTTTTTGCTCAGGTGAAAATTCCTGTATGACATATATATGTAAATAATATGTGTTCATCTATAAACTCTTCTTTCAAGTTTCTTCATATTACCATTTTTTTTCAAACTTGGACACCTCTCTAAGGTTTCCAAACAATCCTGTATCTCCCTCACTCTTGAATATGAATATAAAACATTTTTCTTGATATTTTCTTGGTAAATCCACTTACTAAGATTAAGTGTAGTTTTGTGGGGAACAATAGTAAATATATGCATTTTAATCAGTCATCTGTTCCTGGAGATCTGTATTTTAATTTTTAGAGGCAAATAGGAGGTTAAACTTTTAAAACATCATATCATTGAAACTTTTTCATTGACACTTTTACCACTGGATTTAATTTTACAAAGTTATTTCCTATCTGATATTTGAAAATAATTTATATTTCTACTAGTTTGTTTTCCCTCATATGTTTATACTTCTTATCTATTTATCCTTCTAGATTCAAAGATGGATTTATAATAATTTTGCCAATTTATTCTCCCAGCCAATTGATATTTGTGCCACTAGAAGGAAGTCACTGCAAAAATGCTGCTGAGAAAGACACTTGGTGCAGCTCAACCAAAGGCCTTAGCTCCCTGTGGTTCTCTTCTAATCACTTCCAATAAGGAAGCATAGATTTGTACATTTGAGAGTTGAACATCCCTGTGCATTGAAAGGGCACAGAAAAGTGTAAACAGCTCTTTTACCATTATTTTTTTTTTAAATTTTCCCTACCCACACCCCCTTAGGAATCTACTGAGGTAGAGGCTAATGTATTCTTTGTGTATGAGAAAAAATGAAGTTGATATTTGCCCTTTCTTTGGTGACCAATACTCGGGTTCATGTCATTCCTTCTGGCTCCAGGGCATCCAGCCAGGCAGCATGTCCCAGCTTTTGCTGCAGGCAGGTGGACCATGGAATGGAGGTGGAAATGGTGCATGACACTTTCAAATCATACCTCCAAATTTGCTCACTCAGTTCTCATTTCTAGTCAGAAGCAATGGTGCACTCCAAGCCACAGAAAGGTGGAGCCGCTTGATGGAAGGAGCATGGGTTTTTCTGCTTACCCCACTGGACTGTGTGTGTGTGAACGACAAAACACAGTGTAAATGTACTAAGCTGCTGAATTTCATATCTATTTGTTGCAATGGTTAGTCTATCTTGATATAAGGAGAATAGTTACATACAAAATAGATTTTTTGTATATTTTATATATAGTAAATACTTTTGTGAGTGGTTATAAAAGGAAGCATAGGTTGTATTTATGTAATGTTAATCAGAGTACAATATTAAATTAGGTGAACATAAACAAATCTAATCATATTTTATCTAAAATAAACAAATTGGTTAGCTCATTCTATATTATAATGGTAGGTAAGATATGACAAAAGATGAAGTCATTTTATTAATGTCTATGACAATATATTAGATATTGTTCCTTTACAGTTGCAATCTAAGATTTATACCTCATATATATTATATGATATTGTTTGAGACCTTCCTAATGAATTTAAAGTTAAGAAACTAAATATCATTTATTAAGTTACTCGTACTCACTTGTATTAAGAAGTAGCAATACTTTCATACAGAGGAATTCTTCATGGCTAATTTGAAGCTTGACAAATTCCTGTGGGATCTGCCACATGGTAAGGCATAAAGAATAGAAGGACAACTCCTTCATCCGCTGCCTTGCACCACACATGACACATAAAAGAAAAAGTAATAGGTGAAAAAAAAAACAGTGTTTCTGCCAGTTCATGTAATATATCAGAGAATATGATTTTGACAATTATTTCTCATATTATTGATTATGACTAATATTTTTTAATAAGCAATAAATATTTGGAGTTTTCAACATCTTTAAGTTTTTTTACAGTACAATACTAAATATTTGACGTTATGATATTTTAAAATTAGAAAATCCTATTAGATGCACATAGACCAAAATTTATATTGTTTCTTTTATAATAAAATTTTAAATACCTAAACCAAGAAAGGAAAGCAAAATTGTAGAATTTGAGAATGTGCAGGCAAAGAATGATCAGAATTGCTTTATTTACTGTTGATTTTTTTCTATGAAAGCATATCTCTGTGTGTGTGTATATGTGTGTGTGTATACACATAATTTTGTGTGTAATTCACATGAGAATTGCCTTAGTTTGCAGAAAGTTACCACTCTGTGACCTTTTCTAGGGGAAATGTATGGTGACATAGAGGATAAAAGAGAATGTTAGCAAGCATATAATAATTCATAAGCTCAAACACCAATTCTGAAGGTTGAGGACATTTATTTTTTAACCCTGTGCTATTTTATAATGTTCACATCAATCAAATTATGCTAACAGGAACAGTGAAAAAGATACTAGGTTTTGACTCAAAAGAGTTGAGATTAATCCTGATTCTTTAGCAGGGTGTGTGTGTGTGTGTGTTCATTATAGTTGTACATATTGATGAGATTTGCTGTTATCTGTTTGTACAGACATAAATCTACTAATATAATTTGGCCAATATAGATCCCCAGCATTTCCTTCCTCCCTCTGTACCTCTCACATCTGGATCCCTTTTCTCTATTGATCTCCCCTTCATTTTTAGGAGATCTACCTCCAACTTTGTTTTTCTTTTTCCTCTCTAACTTCTGCATATGAGCAAAACATGACCCTTAACCTATGCTTTGGTTTCTTGAACTATACAATGAAGGATGCTAATTTCTTATAATCAAGGACTTGTAAGATAAAACAGAATGAAATATGAAAATTACCATAAACTATGAAAACTTACACAAGGTATAAGTTACTAATTTAAATACTTGTAAGTCATCATTCACCATTAGAACATCATAAGTATTGCGATGAAAAGATTTTTAATTTGGTCATATGTAGAAAATTAATTGATTATTTATGTATAATAAGGCAAATTAAATATTTATCTTTTCAGTTTTTAAAATAAATTACAAGCCCAGTTTTCCTATAAGAAAAAAGATGTTTTTACTTTTTGAAGTTAAGTCAATACTTTAAAAAATATTTCTAATTTATTTCATTATCTTCATTATACTAAGGGATGAAATTTTAACTTTATAAAGTAAATACTTGATGTTGTCTTTAAAGCCTATTTCTCGGCATAATTTTGAAGAATTTAAAATTTTTATTTGAGACAATAATAAATATTTAAACAAAAAGAAAAAATATCAAATTACTGATACAAATGATATGATTTTTATTAAGACTGTATTATCAAGTTGTATCCTGAAGTAATTCTGAAAAATACTTAAGGAAATTCCATTATTTAAGATAATAAATGTATAGTCATTTACTGAAATTTAATTTTGAAAATTATGTTGCAAACACACTTGTGATGATAACAAGACAACAATATTTACTACTTACTCATTTAGTATTAGATCAGGTGCAAAATATAACATCTGCCCACTGACATGTTTGTAGGATCTCCATCCTAGTCCAAACACCATTAAGCTCATCCAAGAGTACTGAATGAGAGTTATCTGATCATCAATATGTAAGTTTCTAAAACCTACAAAACAATTTTAAAATGAAATGATCACTTATGTAAAAAATGTAGAAAATACATAGAAGTTTAAAAACAGATATAATTAGGGTTTCAAATATTAATATAATTTTTCCTAAAATCAGGAACTCATCAATCACTCATCTCTCATTCTTGCAATACCCATTTATTGAGACCCATATGTGTGCCAGACACCTTGTTAAAATGCTGGGGTTATGAAGATGAAGATCAATCTTCACCCTTAACAGAAGCTCACCACTCAACAGGAGAGACAAGCATAGGGGAGCAGTGATGAGAAAGCTAAGAGGGAGCATACCAGTCAATCAGAGGCAGGCCAGGCAAAGCTTCCTAAAAGACTAAGAGCTGAGTGATATTCAGTTTGTTGAGTAATCTCAATTGTGGGGAATTTAAACATAAATTGGTTTTAGTTTATAAAACCAGTGCCCTCAATTGTGGTATATCTAAATTTCTAGCAATGCTTATATATCATAGATTCCAGAAGTTTGGGGTCAATTTTTTTTATTTTATACTTTTAAAATTTGTTCTTATTAGTTATACATGACAGTAGAATGTATTTTGACATATTATGCATATAAGGAGTATTATTTCCCATTCTTCTGGTTGTACATATTGTGGAATTACATTGGTCATATATTCATAGATGCACATAGGAAAGTAATGTTTGATTCATTTTACTATCTTTCCTATTGCCATTCAACCTCCCTTCATTAATTCCCCTTTGTCTAATCCAGAGTACTTCTATTTTCCCTACCCACTTTCACCTATTGTGATTTAGCATCCACCTGTCAGAAAACAAAMAAAAAAAAAAAACATTTGGCCTTTTGTTCTTTGGGATTGGCTTATTTCACTTAGCATAAGAGTCTCCAGTCCCATCCATTTACCTGCAAATCCCATCATTTCATTTTTCTTTATAGCTGAATAGTATTACATTATATAAATGTACCACATTTTCTTATCCATTCATCTATTGAAATGTAACTAGGCTTATTCCATAATTTAACTATTATGAATTGAGCTGCTATAAACATTAATGTGGCAGTGACACTGTAGTTTGCTGATTTTAAGTCCTTTGGGTATATGCCAAGGAGTGGGATAACTGGGTCAAATGGTGGTTCCATTCTGACTTTTCTAGAGAATTTCCATACCACCTTCCAGAGTGGTTGCACTAATCTGCAGTCCCACTAACAATGTATGAGTGAAATTTTGTCTCTATATCCTCGCCGATATTTATTGTTACTTGCATTCTTGATATTTGTCATTCTGACTGGAATGAGATGGAATCTCAGTGTAGTTTTAATTTGCATTTTCCTAAATGCTAGAGATGTTGAAAAATTTTTCGTATATTTGTTGACTGACTGTATTTCTTTTTCTGTGAAGTGCCTGTTCAGTTCCTTTGCCCATTTATTGAGTGGGTTATTTGTTTTGTGGTGTTAAGATTTTTAGTTCTTTGTATATCCTAGAGATTAATATTCTATCTGAGGTACAGGTGGCAAAAAATTTCTGATTCTATAGGTTCTCTCTTCACATTTTTAATCCTATCTTAATTTAAACATCGATGTGATTTAGAGTTGTGCATATTTGTGTATGCACAAATGYTCTGATCTTTCACCCTCTTTCAGGCCCTTGTCTGGTTTTGGTGGCAGAGAGAGAATGGCAGCAAAAGGCAAAATGTGTTTTGACTTAGTGGTTGTAGTTCTTTTTTCATCTTTTCCCATTTCTTTGAAGAATAGCATCTGTTCAGCACTGAAGAACTTAAGAGAGGGAGAAGCAAAGATGTCTCTGGAGATGTAGACTGGGGTTGAAGTTTGGAGGGTCTTGTATGTCAATCAGTAGCAATGGGAGAGACATGGCCTACATGTGTTTTAGGAAGATTCTTAGTAGCTATGAGGAAAGTGGATTCATGGAGCAAGTACTCAAATTAGGGAAAGCAGTTGGCAATCAGATGAAAGATGATGACAGTCTTATCTTAAATTGATATGAAGGAATTGAAAGAAGGAGATACATCAGAGAGATATTTAAAATGCAAAATCAAAGAGATTTGGCAACTAATTGTATGTAAGTGTGAAGAAGAACTCAAATACATGTATCAGCATCTTCACCTGAATTCTATAGTGGTGGCAGCATTGCTGAGATAAAGGAGAAGAAACAGGATAGGGAGAAAATAGTAAATGTGGATATGTTTGAGGAACCTCACAAATATCTAGATAGCAGTTGAGCATGTGAATTAGGATAGGGAGTTATCTGGGCTAGAAATATAAATTTGGAGATTATTTGTATGTGATTGTAGTAGAAACAAGAAAGTGGATGAAATATTTTATTAAATTTTAGGAGGAAAATGTGTTTTGATATAAACATCAACCACTTTCTTTAAAGCTCTTTGACTAATGACTGTTTTACCTAAAAAATCCATTGAAATCCACTCAATTCATTGAAATTACTCAATTCAAAAGTAAAATTAAAGCAAAACTTAATTTATTTGATACTAAGAGCAAAATAAATTAATGTCTTGACTACATTAGACATTTCAAGGAATTATCAAAGCTGAAGGCTATCTTCTCTCACACACTCAAGATGGTCCCATCTCATGTGAACATCAGGAAGGCTGATGCTCTCTCTTGAGAACTCATTAACCTCAGTGGGACTGCAAAGAACTCTAGAGCATGTTACAACTAGGGATATTACAGCAGCAGTTTTCCTCTTGGGGAATGGGCTCTTCATTGTCTAACTTCCTTCCTTTCTTCCTCTGTGCAGTACAGATCACCCTGGTTGCAGTTTGGTGAAAGCATGTGCCCCACCTTTCCACAAAGGAAGTTGGCTAAAAGCTCTGCTTCCCTGGGCTTATGGCTAGGGTCTGGCCTCTGGATAAGGTACTTTGGATCAGGATTAGTAAATCAGGGTTAGTAAAGCAAAGACAAAATATACTGTTATTAAATCTTGACAGCAGTAGTGCCTGGTGGAGGCACCAAGTGATAGAGGAATCCAAAGGGTGTGTTTGTCATGCTAATTTATGCCTCAGTTTCTACCATATTCCAAGTTTGTTCTCTAGTTTCTATTCAATGACTCCCTATTGATCTCCCACTAATTCCCCCCCCCTTTTTTAAAATAGAGTTTTTGTTTGTTTGTTTTTATAAATAACTGTTTTGTTGTTGTTGGCTTCCAAGAATTCTGATTTATTCAGGTGCAGAAAGACTCCCTACATAACCAGCCAATAAAAATTTGGCATGCGGTTTTCACAGTACTTTATTTTAATATGACTTAAACTCACCTTAAAGTACATGTCTATATATAATGTGTCTTTTAGAAACAAAACTGAGTATCAACACAATAAATCTAGAACACAAAATCTTGTCAATTGAATATTTACAGAAATGGAACATTAATTCTCTGATAAAATTTATAGTAACGAATTTGCCTAACTTGTGAAAAGGAAGACTTCCTAAAGGGAAGCAAGTATTAACCTGTCTATAGCTGTTCTTCTTACATTACAAATAGTTTTGGAGAAAAGAAGTCTTGGTTCTATCACTTGATAAATGCCACTTTGGGCAAGTTATTTGATATGACTGAATCTAAATTTTTTCATGGGTAAAATCACACTGATAGTTATAACTAATTCAATAAGTTGCTATAAGACTCAAATGGATAATTATGCATATCATGGAGCACTATGGAGATATTTATTATTAGTCTATGAATGGCTCCTATAACAGAATTGCTTATTAGAATAATATTCCTATGAAGGCCACTAATCAGCCCAATAGGAAGTCTCTATTGTAAAACACAGTGAAATAAAAATTATGTGTCAGGGGACATTTTTCAACAATTATACAACCTGTATAATACAGCTAAAGTATGTTATTAATGGCAGTAAAATTCAAAAGATAAAAATAAGTGATTGGGAATATACATTTTCCAGAAAACATATTTCACATTATTTTATATAAAAAAAATCATGTACTTCATGTATGTAAATATATAAAATGGCAGTCTTGTAGAGAGTTTAAACTAATTAGATGTATTAAAACATTAACACATTGTTCATTGTACTCTCCAAGAATATATTTTTTTGGAAACATGACAGTGGGTGGGGAGGCAGCGATCCCTCCACCTCCTCAGCCACGTGGACAGAGTGAGACCTCAGAACAATTGGACTCTGCCTGCTGAGAAACTCCCAGCAAAATTCGGCTGAATGAGACCTAGGCGGGAGTTTGGGCTCCCCGAGGCAGCTGMTTGCTCAGACTCGGGCGAATCCCAGCCACGCGCTCAGAGGTGCTTGCTGACTGTCTGGCAGCCTGCAGACGGAGGCGATTCAGCAGTGCTGGAGACCGTGAGCGGCTTAAAGACAGATGGAGGCATCTCGGCAGAGAAACTGGACCCTTGGAAGAGGCTACGAACCAACCCTCCAGGAGACAGCGGACCGAGAACTGAAGCGAGACAGACCAGAGACAGACCAGACTCACCCCCCCCCCATCGGACATACCAGCAAGGGAATCCACCATTAGAGAGAGCCGAGGTCACCAGAGTTCGGCGGTYGGGATCCCTTCCCAGCGAAATCAGCTTCAACAGGTGTGTGACTCCCATCTCACCAGCCCCATACAGCTGGGAAAACTCAATAATCTATCCCCAGATATCCGAGGGCGTGCTTGTAGGAGCCCAGGGAAACAGAGGGGACACCTGACCTCCAACTTCCCCTACACCAAGGTTTTTTTTTTTTCCACCAGCTCCCGGGGCATGGCTACCGAAAGGGACCAGGCAAAATAAGCTGATGGCCCCCAAATCACCGGCTCCACAACCTTGGGGTCTGGGCGAATGGCTAACAGTTGCTTTCCCAGGGGGCTGCAAGTAACTAGATCTGTGGAGAAACCCACCAGTGAGTGGGGCCTGGCTGGCAGGAGAAGGGGGTAATGGCCTGGAGACCAGAAATGGCCCTGGGCRGCCAGGATTGGAGAGCCGCCCAGTAGGGGAAGAGGAGCCACTGCATAGGGATT